GCCGCGGCCCCGGGTCCTGCTGCAGCCCAGCATGTGAGTTTCGGGGGCCAGAGGCTCGGCCGCGCTCCCGGGACCCGGGCCGGCGCTCGCGGCTTTGTCCCAGGGACCCCAGGACCATGGTCTCGGCCTTAACGGGGGCGGGTGGTCACGACCCCAGGGTCTGTCGTGCGTGGGGTTCCCCGGTGCGTCCTCTGCCCCTGGGGTGTGGGGTCGGACCGACGCTGAACTTGGGGGACAAGGGCTCCGGGCCCCGCGGCGCAGGGTCAGCCGTGGGCCGGCTCGCCCCGTCGGAGAGGAAGCCGCCCGCTCCCACTTCCTCTCCGAGCGGCGTCGGGGTCTGGGGGCGCGGGGGCGGAGTGTCGTGGTCTAGAGGGGTGGGGTGCGGTGGGTCTGGGGGTACGCGGGGGTAGGGGTGTCGTGGGTCTGGGGGCGCTGGCGTGAGGTGCGGTGGGCGTGGTGCCGTAGGTTTGGGGTACGGGGGTGGGGTGGGTCTGGGGGCACGGGGGCGGGGTGTCGTGGGTCTGGGGTGCGGGTGCGGGGGCGGTGCGTCCTGGGGTGCGGGGGTGGGGTGCCTGGGTCTGGGGGCGCACAGTGGCGGGGTGCGGGGGCGGGGAGCCATGGATCTGAGGGCGCCGGGACGATGCGTCCTGGGGTACGCGGGGGTGGGGTGCGGTGGGTCTGGGGTACGCGGGGGTGGGGTGCAGTGGGTCTGGGGGCGCGCAGGGGCGGGGTGCCGTGGGCCTGGGGGCGCGAGGGTGGGGTGCGGTGGTCTGGGGGCGCAGGGGCGGGGTGTCTTCGGTGTAGGGGCGCGGGGGTGGGGTGGGGTGGGTCTGGGGGCGCAGGAGCGGGGTGTCGTTGGTCTGGGGGCGCCGGAGCGAGTGCCGCAGGTCTGGGGGCGCGTAGGAGCGGGGCGCAGGGCCTGATTTGTGTTCCCCACGTGTGCTCGGGAGAGGAAGGCGCGGAGCAAACAGGGGCGGGGAGGGAGAGGGAGGGGAGGGGAGCCGCCGCGGAGGATTCAATTTTGAAAGACGATTCCCCGATGGGCCCTCAGCGGTCCTTCCCGACAGCAGAGCGTCCAGGATCGGGGTGGGCCCCCGACGGCGGCAGCGGGAGAGGGGAGCCGGCCGCCCTGGGGCCTGCAGGCTGCGGGGAGGCGTCCGCCCCGCGGGGCACCGGGCCGGCACTGGGCTGCACGCAGCGGGAGCAGGCGGCTCCGCCCCGGGCCCCTCCCCGGGTTGCCTTCCTGCGTCTTGGTTTGCAAAGGGCTGGGGGCTTTCCACCCAGAGACCTGGGCCCCGTGCCGCCCCCGTGACTCGAGCGGACATTCCCCCGGGAGCGGAGAGCGCACCCGGGCCGGATTAGCGGGGGGCTGGCGGCTGTGGGCGCAGCCTCCTGGGAAGCCAGGGCCGGGAGCCGATGGGTGTCTCTGCCCCATTGTGCTCCTGGTAACTGCGGCTCACCGCCCCTCCTGGGCCCCCTCCCGGGCCCCCTCCCGCCATGGTCTCAGGTTTGAGTCCTGTGCCCACCAGCTGACTCGGCCTCTGGGAGTCATCTGTGGGAGAGTCCTTCCCTCCCTCCCTTCCTCCCTCCCTCCCTCCCTCCCTCCCTCCCTCCCTCCCTCCTTCCTTCCCTCCCTCTCTCCTTCCTTCCCTCCTTCCTTCCCTCTTCCTCCCTCCCTCCTTCCTTTTCTCCTTCCTTCTGGTCCTGGAGTTTAAACTCAGGTCATGGTCCCTTAGCTTTTTTTCACTCAAGGCTGGCACTCTACCATTTGAGCCATAGCTCCACTTCCAGCTTTCTGGGGGTTAACTGGAGATCAAGTATCTCATGGACTTTTCCTGCCCTGGCTGATTTCAAATCTCCAGCCTCAGATCTCCGCCTCCTGAGTAGCTAGGATTACAGCCGTGAGCCACCAGTGCTGGACAGACTACAGGTTTTGAGAGGTGTCCCTTAGCCTTTGCTTTTTGTCCCAGAGGAGTAGGGGAGGGGCTGGGAGCACAAAAGGCTTGTGGAGTGCTTTGTGCTCACTGCGGCCTCCCCTTCCTTTTGGAGGGCAGGGGCTGGCAGGGGCAGCCACACCTCTCAGGCCGTTTTTCCTGAACTGTGAGTTAGCTTCAGACTCTGGCCCCCCACAGCTACACCTGGACATCATGGGTACCTGGGGCTCTGAGAGGTGCTGACGGTGCTATTCTAACTCCCACCCCGGATGCCCTGTGGGCCCTGGTGAACCTGTTTGAGCCATGTGACGGTTCTAGACATGCTCAGATTCTCCAGCATCCCAGAACAGCGCAAAGCGATCTACTGTCTTTTGCCTGTCCCTGACTGCTTCTCCCCTGGGGCTGGGAACAGCCACTGGCCAGGCCTGGGGAGAGGGGCAGGGGGCTGGTGAAAATCCCTGCAGGCTTCCAGGCACGGGATCCTGCGTGCCAAGACAGTTGCCTACTCGCTGAAGCTAAGGGCCGGGCCGGGCCGGACCAGCCAGGGGCAAGGGTTTTTCACTGAGCAGCAACTGTGCTTAGACTCTGCTCGCCTTAACCCCTCCCACCCAGGGCAGGCTGGCCCCTCCAAGCTCAAGCCCCGCCCAGAGGAGGCCCCTACCCCGCCACTTCAGGATCTGCTTTGAGTGGCCAGATGTGCCCACAGGGGGATGCTGTACCTCTGAGAAGGAGGAGGAGGGGCTGGGCACGGTGCCGGGGGGCTTGTCTCCTGCCTAGAGGAGGAACTGAGCTTTGTCAGGTCTGGGGGGAACTGGACTCCTCAATCCCAGAGCCTCACACTTCCCTGCATGCCAGCTGCCCCCAGGCCGGCCTGGTGTTGTCAGAGGTGAAGGAGGCGCTGTTGGGAGAGCCAGCTGCCCTCGGGAGTGGGGGAGGGGCAGCCTGGCTGGCCAGCCGCCTGGCCTGTCTGCCTACCCTGTGCCTCTGGCTCTGTGTACAGCTGCCCAGGACACCTGCCCAGGCTCCCTGGGAGGTGTCTGTGGGTCATCGAGTGAGTCCTGGAGCCCTCAGGCTGCTGTGGCTCTAAGTTCCTCTGCACGGATGTTCTGGGGTACATCATCTATAGAAGTGGGCTTCTTGGGCCCAAAGCAGAGTGAAGGAGGAAGAGAATGGCTTGCGGGTGGGAGGTCAGCCTCTCCAGCATTGGGGAGGTCAGGAGCTGGGCCAGGCCCAGCCCAGGGAAGGCTGAGGGGAAGCTTGCCCTGGTCTAGCCCCAGGCCTCTGGCCTGTCCTCTTAGGCTCAGCCTGGGGTTCTTAGCCTATGACCACCTTTGGGAAGCTGGAGGAGGGGGGGTGTCCAGAACCCCCTCTTCAGCCATCTGAGGGGACAGAGTTCTGGCAGCTCCCGGGGAAGGCCGTAACTGTGGAGCCTGTTGCCCTGGCTCAATGTCACCTTATGGACATTTGTTGATGAACTTTCCACAGAGAAAGTGCTTCTAGACAGGTCCTGCATCCCGGGGGCAGGGCGGGGTGTCTGCAAGAAGCCTCGCCTGGCCCAGTAAACCCCACAGCTGGTCACCCGTGTAGCATGTGGGTTCCAGAGGTTTACAGTGTCCCGAGGGTCCTCACCCTGTGGTCACCCTGGGCGAACTGGCCAGCCATGGCCCTGCGATGGGAAGTTTGGAGATGGTGGGGGCTAGGGGCCGGCGGGGGTCTGGGCTGGGGTGTGTTTTTGGCAGCCCCTTGGGCCTGTCTGGGCCTGGCTGCACTCGGCTGCGTTGTCCGTTGGTGACGGTGCCGTGGCCAGGCAGACACAGCTGGGTGCTCCTGTCATCTGTGGATGCTTTCATCCCCCGAGGGGTGGGCTTTCCACCCAGCAGAGCAAGAAAAGGAAGAAAAATAAAGTGTCAGGTTGCCAGAGCATCCGGCTGGGGGTGGCTGGCTGGGGGCCAGGGTCTCGGAGGCTGAGGCTGGGGTCCCAGCTCGTCCACTGGGGATGTGGACCGTGTCCAACGATGCACTCCTGTGCCCGGGAGCCCCTGGGAGTGGGACTGGAGCTGGGGCAGGCAGGAGGGGGAGAGCCCCCCTGCTCTGCTGCCCCAGGGAAGCAGAGGAGACTTCGCCGGGATTTGCCAGGCTCCCTGTGGTGCCCCATGGACTGGATGCACACTGGCCCACGGGGCCCCTGCTGCTGGAGACAGCGCAGAGCCTGGCCCTGCAGGCCCAGCCTCGTTCCATCCCCCCCCCCCCCGCTGGTTCCTCTCCGTGGGTCACTTCCTGTGAAGCCTTGTTCTCTCTCCCCAAACTTTGCATCCAGGGTCCTTTCCCCTCAGCAGGGCAGCTTGGGCGAGCCTGAGTTCTGGAAGGCTGGAATGTTCCTCCTGCTGGCCTATCCTCCCAGGGCCAGCAGCCTTTCCCCTCTGGGCCTGGGGGGGCTCTGGAAGGTCACTGTAGCCCCTGCGGTGCTCTGGGTTCTGTGTCCTGAGCTGGGGGCTTCTTCAAGGAGAATCACACCGAGCTTGGAGCAGGGTGGGCTGCAGTTTCATTTTCCGGTTTCTCAGCCCCCCCGTGTGGGCCCCGGGGCTGAGCGGGAGAGCCTGAGCCCTGAACCGGTGGACTTGGCACACCCTGGGCCTGGTGGAAGGCCTGCAGAGCGCCTGCAGCCATGCCAGGTTCTGGGCGGTTGGGCGAGCTCAGGCGGTGTGTCACCCCTGTGTGCGGGGTTCCGTGGCCCTCGCCCCCACTAACTCTGTTCCCTTGTTCTGGAACGCAGGGTGGATGCCAGGAGGCACATGCATGGCATGGGTCTGATCCCGGGGGGGGGATGTGGGGGTGACCGGGGCCTGCTGTTGGTGGTGAGGTGTTGATGGTCCCTGTCCTCCATGCAGGCCCCACGTGTGTGCTGAGCAGGAGCTGACCCTGGCAGGCCACCGCCAGCCCTGTGTGCGGGCCTTCATCCGCACGGTGCCCGTGTGGAAGCCGGGCTGTGGGCAGCAGGCGTGGTGCCTGGGCCAGGAGCGCAGGTATGTGGCAGGGACCCAGGACCAGAGGGGGTGGGGTCTGTGCTCGGCCTCAAGTGGTGGTGCCCACCCCCTTCCCAGGGCCCAGGCCTCAGGTGTGGGCCCCGTCCTGGGCTCTGGGGGGGACCCAGCCTCTTCCACCCCCAGGAGTCAGCCGGCAGGGAGGCCACCCCATAGGGCTTTTGTAGGGGTGGGCAGGGAGAGGGCCTGGGGGAGGGGTTGTGCGGGGAGGGAGGGGCTTGCTGCCTGACCCTTAGACCTGGTTCCCAAGCCTGCGTGGAACCTTTTATTGCTCAATATCAAATTTCAACATCTGTCTTAAGGAGTGCCTTTGCATACCTCTTCTCCGTTTATAGACTTGGGGTTGTAGAATTTGTCTGGCTGTCGGCGGGGGGGCGGAGGCTGGCTTCGGCCCCAGTTAGGTGGGAGCTGTCTGCTCTGGGGGGCTGGGGAGGGAAGGCAGGAATGTGTCCCACGAGGGGTGTGGTGCTCTGCTTCTTTAGCCAGGACTCCAGCCTGTGAGGCTCTGGGAGATGGGGTGGGGGCGGGGCGCCCGTGTCAGCCCTCCCTGCACTGATGTCTGCTGCCCAGGTCACCCCTGTTCACCTGGGGACGGTGGTCCCTGCCCCCAGGGCCCTGACCCTGTCGGGAGACGTGCACGCAGAGGCGAGCTGTGTGTCTGGCTGATGCTGCTCAAGCCAGCAGCGCACAGCAGAGCCTCCTCCATCCCCAAGGAGCTCCCGGCCCCAGGCCTGGAGGGCCAGAGACAGGCGCTTCACAGTCTCCCCGCCTGCACATGTGGGTAGCTGTCATGCATTTGCAAAGCTGGCCGGTGGTCCTGTACGCCACACGGTCCCTGCCATAGCTTGAGCAATGCTGCTGTTTCTGGAAGCAGCCAGAAGCCACTGGGATCCAACGCTGGAGGTGTGGTGGGTGGCCGCCTGGGGAAGCCTTTGAGGCTGGCCGGGATGGTTGTGTCCGGCACTGGGTGTGGCAGGACCTCCGCCTCCGGGCTGGGTGTCTGGAGACACCTGCTGACCCAGAGGACGCCACTTCCTGGGCAGTGAGCCAGCACCACGGGGTTTCCGACATGGTGTGCCTTTGGTTCTGTGTCCGGATTTCCTGGCCTAGTGCGTGTGTGTGTGTGTGTGTGTGTGCGCGCGCGCACGCGTGCATGGATACATGTCTGTGCAGTGCACTGCCTGGCTCAAGATGTCTGGGCTCTGTTACCAGTCCTCCCTCCCCAGCCCGTGGTGGTTCAGCCTCGGTTCTGAGGGAATTGGTTGAGGTCCAGGCTCAGGACAATCCACGAATGGGCAGCTGTCTGCCGTCTAGTCTGGAGGGCGGCCAAGACCCACCTGTGCTCTGCACCTGCCCATGCCCTCTCCCCTTCCTCCTCCCCTCCTTCCCCTCCCTCTCCCCCCCACCCTGTCTGCACCCTGGGTGCAGCTGGGTCTTCTCACTGCACTGGGGCCCTCGGGCTGCAGCCTCCTGCCTGGCTTGCAGGAGCTGGCCCCCAGTGGGCACCCAAGGCTCAGTCTGGCTCCTGGTGATCAGAGTTCCCTGGACGGCTCTGGCTCTTGCTTTCCTCTCCGTCTTGTTTCTTCCGAGTGGCTGAGGGCTGAGCCAGGCTGAGCAAGTGTCTCCCAAGCACTGTAGAGATAGACATCTGTCCAGCGGCTGCCCAGGACCTGGAGTGGCCAGGTGCTGGGATCCCCCTCTGCCCAGTCCAGTGGCCAGCCCTCCTGGACATCGCCTCTTTCCTACCAGCTGAATCATGGTCCCCAGGCCCCACCCAGTGTCCTGGGGCCTCATCTGTTTCCCTGGCTTCTGAGCAGATGCCCATATTCACCTCAGTGCGAACTCTGCCAGGAGCAGGTTCTGGGCGGCACAGGGAGGTGGGTTCTGGGGAGAGGCAGGGAAGGAGGGAGGGGGGCTCGAAGCAGGGAGCTGTGACCGCTGTGTGCTGTGTTGTGCGTCCCCTTCAGGCAGCAGGGCTGGGACCTCCTGGTCACCTCCACTCTCCAGGGTCTTCCTTCAGAGGTCGCCGGGGGAGGAGCCAGGAGGAGCCGCACGTAGCCAGCCCTAGCCACAGCCCGGGCAAGGGGAGAAATATTTATGATGAACAGGCCCAAACCTGCTGCGGGCCAAATATTGTTTGTGCCTTGGTCACTTTCTGTCCAGGCAAGCGGTTTCATGTCCTGCCAAGGGGGGATCTTGTATTTTGCATAAGGCGCTCCCAGTGTTTCCGTGCGGAGCGCATGCAGGAACACGCGTGTCCGGGAAGCTGAGCCTGGTTTGTTTGTCCAGCAGGCCACAAGGCTTCCGGGCACTGGCCCCAACAAGCAGAGGCCAGTTGTTACCTGGAGACAGCTGTGCCTGCCACCGGCCACTCCCGGGGCTCTAGGGCCCTTGACCCTGTGGCTGTTGGCTGGGCCTCGGGCCACCTGAGAACAGCAATGGGACTGGAGGAGGGGGCTGGGGTCACTGTCATCACCCCCCCCTCAACCCCGTCAGCTTTCTCTGTCTAATCTCTCTCTGTCTCTGAGTCCGTCTCTGTCTCTATTACCGTCTGCTCCTCTCTGTGTGTAGCTGTCTCTCCATCCGGTCCTGTCTCTGTGGAGATCAAGGCCTCACAGCTTGGGGCTGGAGGATGCAGGTGTGTGGAGCGCTGAGCTCTGCATTTGTTTGCTGGACCTCGAGGCCAGAGTGCCCAGTCCAGCCTCGGCCAGGGCTGGCTCCTGCAGCTCCAGTGCCACCCACATTCTCCCGTCTTACAATGTGCCACCATCTCTGCCCACCGCCCCCTGCCTCCTGCCTTGTCCTCGTGTTCTTGGGAGGATGCCAGCTTCAGGGTCAGGCCCACCCTGACAAAGCGTGGCCTCAGCTAAGCACAGATTCAGCAGGCCTTAGATTCGTCAGGTGACTGGTGACCTTGGGGGAGAGATGGGCAGCAGAGTGGATGGGCGGATGGCTGTGTGTCTCATGGACTTGAGGGCTGGAGAGCAGGGCACAGCTGGGGACAGGAGTCACCCCAGGATGGAGGGCACCTTGGCCAGGCTGTGGGCAGTTGAGATTTGCTCTCTGATGAGGCGTGTGTGTGTGTGCACATGCACGCACGCAGGTGCATGTGTGTGCATGCGTGTGCGTGTGTGGGACTCTGGCTTGCCTTCTGGATGGTCCAGAACTCTCATTTCCTTGGGAACCGAGATCCTTCACCAGGTCTGGAGGGGACCGCCCTGGCCCACTGCCCAGTGCTGGACCTCTCAGGCCATGATTCTTGTGAAAGTCCTTCCCTGTTCTGGACTGGGCATGTGCACTCTGACCCCTGACCCTCCCGGACTGGCCTGTGCCGAGAGCCAGCTGAGAGCCAGGGTGTCTCCCGCCCCAGCACGGAGCTAAGCCTGCCACAGGGAGGTCAGGGGCCACACTCGGCTGCTCTCGGGGGAATGTGACAGCCCCGCGGTGCTGCGAGAGCAAGGCTGGCCCTGTGTGGTCAACACGTTCCTCTCCCTCTTGTTCCAGAACCATCTACTACATGGGTTACAGGCAGGTGTACACCACAGAGGCCCGCACTGTGTTCAGGTGCTGCCCAGGGTGGAGCCAGCAGCCCGGCCAGGAAGGCTGTCTCTCAGGTGAGTGTCCCCCTCCCTCCTTTCCCACCTTCCTTTCCATGCAGTGGGACACCTCCTGGTCTTAGGCCTCTGGGGTGGCACTCTGCCCACCAGCAGCGGTTGGAGTGGGCGGGTAGAAGTGAGGCCTTGTGGAGTTCCAGCAGGGCCTGCTGCAACCTGGTAGTGCCTGCAGGGGTGGGAAGCCTGTGCTAAATCACAGACGGTCCCTGCTCAGAGAGAGGTGTGCTCACAAGTGTGGAACCTGGCTGCCCGGGCCTGTGGACAGGGGGTGGGGGGAGAGGTGGGCTGACAGGTGTGAGGACAGGTGGGCTGACAGGTGTGAGGACAGGTGGGCTGACAGGTGTAGGTGAGGACAGGTGGGCTGACAGGTGTGAGGAAAGGTGTGCTGACAGGTGTGGGGACAGGTGGGCTGACAGGTGTAGGTGAGGACAGGTGGGCTGACAGGTGTGGGGACAGGTGGGCTGACAGGTGTAGGTGAGGACAGGTGGGCTGACAGGTGTGAGGACAGGTGGGCTGACAGGTGTGGGGACAGGTGGGCTGACAGGTGTGAGGTGAGGTGGGCTGGGCTGACAGGTGTAGGTGAGGACAGGTGGGCTGACAGGGTGTGAGGACAGGTGTGAGGACAGGTGGGCTGACAGGTGTAGGTGAGGACAGGTGGGCTGACAGGTGTGAGGACAGGTGGGCTGACAGGTGTGAGGATAGGTGGGCTGACAGGTGGGCTGACAGGTGGGCTGACAGGTGTAGGTGAGGACAGGTGTGCTGACAGGTGTGGCGACAGGTGGGCTGACAGGTGTGGGGACAGGTGAGCTGACAGGTGTAGGTGAGGACAGGTGAGCTGACAGGTGTAGGTGAGGGCAGGTGGACTGACAGGTGTTGCCTGAGTGAAGTAGGCAGTGCCCTTCCTCTAAGTGTTTAGCTCGGAGGTCACTGGTGGCCAGCAGTCCTGCGTCCCCACACTGAGGGTCCACAGTTCCTTGGTGTCCCTCCCTCTGGGGACAGGCAGTCGTCCTGAGGTGACCTGTAGCGGGAAAGGGAAGCGCGCAGGCCTGGTGGCAATGTTTGTCCAGGAGGGAAGTGAGTCATCTGGGCAGGAAGGGAGCAGAGGAAAGAGGGACGAGGAGGCCAGGTCGGGTAACATGGGCGGGGTTCCGGCCGGGCCCCTGCGGTGGGCTGTGCCCGCCCCCTCCGCCCCTGCCATCACCACTGCTTCTCTCCCCATGCACCCCGGTGTCCCCTGAGTCTCAGCTGCTGGCATCTGAGAGGAACAAAGGCGTCTGTCTGGTGGTGGTGGTGGAGGGGGGGGAGACATCAAAGCCGAGGTTCCCTGGCTTCCTCTTTGGGCTAGCTCTTACAGGGGACAAGACAAAAAGGGGGCCTGGGGCTAGGAGAGGAAGTGGGGCCGCCAGCCCGCCCCCCAGGGCCTGCAGGGAGAGGACAGGGTCGAATGCAGACTGCAAGGGGAGGGGGCGGCCTGGGCTCCGTCCCAGGCAGAATGGAGAGATGAGCGGGGCTGGAAAGAGACATGCAGGGCAGCATTTAGGGCCTGGGCTGGGCTCTGGCAGCCCTCTCCTTCATCTGTCTGGGCATGGCCATGCCAGGGCCAGGGTGGGAAGGCGGGCAGGGCCGGGACTGGACAGTCGGCAGCAGGCTGGCCTGTCCCCACGGGAGGCAGGGTGTGGGGATGGGGCGGTGGCAGGCGTGGGAATGCCAGCCTCTCTTCTGGCCTCGGCTCACGCCAAGCCTTTCCTGTCTGCACCAAGTTCTAGGCTGTCACCTGCGTGTGGGATCTGTGTATCTTAGGAGAAGCCTGTGACCCAGTGGTGGCCTGACCGACGTAGTAATGAGATGGGAGTGGAGTGGGGCCTTGGACTCTGGGCCAGCCCTGGGGACGTCATGTCCCACAGGCTGAGGCTCCGCAGAGCCCCCAGCTGCAGCTGGGTGCCCTTAGTTGCTTGCCTCTGGGATTTCATCTTCAGTGCGGGTTCTCTGATGTACCTTGCTCTGGTGTGTTTTAATAATCCCAGCAGAGCGCACTGCTCGATCCTCTCTGCATTCCTGCTGTTTAACACAGAGGTGAACGGCTGGGGCGGGTGGCGGCAGGGCCCCGGCCTGTCCCGGGCCTCAGCCTCCTTCCCCTGCCTGTCCACCCCAGCGGCCCCAAGGATGGGATGAGTGGGGACGTGGCAGGAGCAGCACCTGCCCACAGGAAAATGTGGTCTGGCCAGCAGGTGGACTATAAGCAGTCCTTGTCCTGATATTAGACTTTGTGGGATCACATAGCTGGGGACGAGTGGGGAGGACAGCTGAGGAGGAGGAGGACGTCCTGTGGAGGACAGCTGAGGAGGAGGAGGACGTCCTGTGGAGGACAGCTGAGGAGGAGGAGGACGTCCTGTGGAGGACAGCTGAGGAGGAGGAGGAGGACGTCCTGTGGAGGACAGCTGAGGAGGAGGAGGAGGACGTCCTGTGGAGGACAGCTGAGGAGGAGGACGTCCTGTGGAGGACAGCTGAGGAGGAGGAGGACGTCCTGTGGGAGGACAGCTTAGGAGGAGGAGGACGTCCTGTGGAGGACAGCTGAGGAGGAGGACGTCCTGTGGGAGCACAGCTGAGGAGGAGGAGGACGTCCTGTGGAGGACAGCGAGGAGGAGGACGTCCTGTGGAGGACAGCTGAGGAGGAGGACGTCCTGTGGAGGACAGCTGAGGAGGAGGACGTCCTGTGGGAGCACAGCTGAGGAGGAGGAGGACGTCCTGTGGAGGACAGCTGAGGAGGAGGACGTCCTGTGGAGGACAGCTGAGGAGGAGGACGTCCTGTGGAGGACAGCTCAGGAGGAGGACGTCCTGTGGGAGGACAGCTCAGGAGGAGGAGGACGTCCTGAGAGAGGATTGCGGGAGTGGCCATGGCCTGGGCTTCCCCGGGTCATGGGCCTCCTGTCTGACACCGTGAAGCCTCAGGCACCCCCAAAACCACCGCTCTGCAGAGGATGAGCTCTCAGCCCTGCGGCCTCTCAAGGATCCTGGTTGAGATCTTGGGGCCAGGCCCGACCAGGGCATGGGTGGCAAGGTGGGCAGCAATGGCGCCATCCTGACTCCATTTCCGGCTCTGGGGCCTGTGGTTTGTCAGCCCCCCGGGTTTCAGCCTGGGTTCCCTGTGCCCATGTCGAAGCCAAGAGACCTCGCAGAGGGTTTGGTATCCGAGGTGCTCAAGAAGTGCCCGCTGGTCTCCACTGCCCCAGGGACTCCTGCCGACCCGGGGGAGGGGATCACCCCGTCCGTTGGTGGTGACCCACAGACTCTGGCCGCCGTGTCCCACCTCCTGGGGCCTCTACCACGCGCCCCCTCACCTGACAGCTGGGGCTCGTGCCTGGCTGAGGCAGGGGGCCCCAGCCTGGGAGCAGAGGGACAGGATGAGGGGCCTGCACAAGGGAATTGCCTGGTGTTGAGCACGCACCTTCTTCCCCTCCAGCTCCTCGCTCGTCCATCCCGTCTCTTCGGGCAGGCCCGCCCCGCCCCAGCCGTTGGAAACCTTTCTAGCTTCCTGTGACCTGGCACCTTGGGAGGGGGGGCACCGTGGCGGTGAGGGTGGGCACTGAGCCCCACTGTTTGTGCAGGAATGACAGAGCAGAAAGCAAAGGCTCAGAGAATGGCAGGAAGCCGCTAATCGCATCCTGCTTTCTGTCCAGTTACGGCATTGTGGCTGGGAGGTGAACAGAGAGAAAACGTGCTGGGCGGGGGCCGGGGCTTCCTGAGAGCCGAGAGCACGCATGGCTGTGACCTGCAGATTTGGGGCTCATCCGCGCCTGGCTGGGTGCTCTCTGTGTTCTTTGGTGTGCCAGTACTGGTGATGGAACTCAGGCCCTGGACACTGCCCCTTAGCTTTGTCTCTCCAGGCTAGCACTCTACTGCTTGAGCCACCTCTCCACTCCCAGCTTCATTTTTGGTAGTTAATTGGAAATAGAAGTCTCATGGACTTTCCTGCCTGGTTGGTTTTGAACGGTGACCCTCAGATCTCAGCCTCCTGAGTAGTTCAGGATTGCAGGTGAGAGCCACCAGCATCCGGCTGGGGTGTTTTCTGAATTCCATCCTCCCAGATCTGTCAGACAGCTCTGTCTCAGCCATAATCACTCTGAGTGTCCCCACTTGGACCCTTGTGTCCTGCCTGATGGGATGAGGCACCAGGGAGACTCTGACTCTGCCCCCCTTTGTTTCTCCCACCCCAGGCTCTGGGCTCAGCTCTGATGTGCGGGGTCCAGTGTGGGGCCATGGGTGGAGCGGTGGAGGCTGAGGGGGTGTCAGGAGCACACGGCTTCTGGTCGGCTCTGATCCAGCCAGCGCTTCTCACAGCTGCGGGAAGCAGGTTTTGTTTCTGTAGGACGTTGGCAAAGCCTTTAACAGGCCAACAGGCCCTGTGGGCCCAGAGGCCGACCGAGCACAGTGTATTCCAAACTGAAAATCCAGGCAGTGCCTTCCCCAAGACAAAGCAGCGGCAGAGTCGAGGCAGTAGAAGTGAGCCCCTAGCACAGGTGCGGAAAAGCACCGATGCCTCCTGGACGGATGCCACAGCACAGGGCTTGGCACTCTGGCCCAGGGCGGGGCCCAGCCCTGGGCCTGGGCACGGAGGGAGGCTATGGACCACAGTGGGGGTGAGGCCAGAGGAGCTGGCTGAGATGGAGGTCGGGGAAGGCTGTGGGTTCAGGGCTTTGGGGGCCTGAGGTGAGGGTCGGTAGGTGCCTGCCGGGCAGGGGGTCCTGGCAGGGGACAGAGGGTGCAGCGAGGTCAGCGGCGGAGCCTGGTAAGGGCGGAGGCTGCCGTGATGACCACAGCGGTCCTGCAGATCCACTCTGTCCTAGGCCCGAGCCTGGTGCCCAGCAGCCGAGGCACCAGGTCTCGGGAGGACCTTACTGGGGTCTAGGACATCTGGCCTGGTGGCCACTACCTCCTCTGACCCCAGAGCAGGCTGCGTAAGGCTTGGCGTTGGGGGTGGAGGGCTGCAGGAAAGCCGTGGACCAGGGCGCCCTCCTCCTTTCCTGCCTCTGCTGTCTGCGTTTCCTTTCCGTCTGGCCATACATCAGCCCCACTCCCCAGCGTGGGAATCGGCCAGCCCACATCCCAGGCCCGGAGCCTCCTTCCTCCTGGTGACCCGGGGCACACAGGGCCTGTTGTCCCTCTGTGACCCCCTCTCACTTGTCACTGTCCCCCGCAGGCCTCCCATCCACGGAGCTAGGCTCAGGTGGGCCCTGGACCCAGGTACAATTTACACACATGCTGCCTTGCACAGATGTGCACACGCCCACATGCAGCCATCCCCACCCATGCACACGAGCTCACTTAGGATGCTCATGGCCGTACACACCTGCTCAACACATCTGCTGGGCACAAGCTCACACAATGCATGCCTGCACACCTGTGTGTGCTCACACATTCTCCTCACAGCCGCAGTGTGCTCACACCCAGAGTGACCCGCACTCTCTCTCCTCCAGCCTCCTCCTTGAGAGGGGGGTCTTGTGAATTTTCTGCCTAGGCTGGTCTTGAACCCTGATCCCCACAATCTGGGCCTCCCAAGTACCTAGGATATAGGTGTGAGCCACTACAAGCCTGGCCCGGCTTCTTTTATGATAGGACGGCGATGCTCACAGGCTCTGGGCCTCAGTGTTTGGAGATGGCTGCTTTCCATGTCACCCCTCAACCCTGGAGGACTTCCTGGTGCAGACTGGGGTGATGGTGGGTCTCCCTGGGCTCTGCTTTGCTCCTCATCCCCAGGAGGCCCAACTGGGAGCACCCCCCGTGCAGGGATTGGTCTGGAGGCAGAGGCTGAGTTTGCTCCGGGGTGATGGCTGCAGGGTCTGAGGGAGGCCCATGGTGGTGGATAAGATTCTGGGAGGTCAGGAAGAAGCATATGTGAAGAACCTGGGTCCCGTGCCAGCCCGGGGTGTCCTCCTGGCCTGACACCGAAGTGGGACAGTGTTGGGCACGAGCCCGGGCACTGGCCACCCTTGCTCTGTGACCCAGGGCTGCACACCTGGCCCAGCGCTCGGGCTGGAGGGCAGCTCCCTGGCTGGCCTGGGCATGGGGGAGTTGTGTGCACAGCTGGCCATGTCCCCCTGGCCTCCGCCACTGGCCCCTGGGAACTCAGGGCTCCTTAGCTGACTGCCACGGCCCCCCTCTGCGGAGGCCATCCCTCCCTGCTCCTGGCAGGAGTGCCACGGGGGCCACAGGCTGGCCGAGCCCACACGCCCCGCAGGCTCCAGGGTGGCCGGGGCAGCTGGGCACTGTTGAGAACCCTCACCCAGCGAGCGAGCCCCACAGGATGGGCTGCCCTGCCCCGTCCCGCCCCACCCCGCCCTGCCTCGCCCCACCCCGCCCTGCCCTCCACATGTGTACGCTGGTCAGTCCCGGCCACGTGGTCTGGACACCCCGGCTTGAGGGGACACTGAAGCAGGGGCTGCCTGCCAGGCCCCAGGGACTGCAGTCTCCACTCTACCTCTGTGGCCTCACTCAGCTCTCGGGAGCCTCAAGGCAGCAGGTGCAAACACGGCCCCAGGCCGGAGCCGTGAGAGAGGGCTGGGCAGGGTCAGCCACGGAGGGGGGAGGAAGAGCGCAGCCCTCCCGACCCCTTCCCTCCACCTCCCTCACTTCACCCCTCCCGTCCAGGTCTGGGGGGAGCTACCTCTCTGGTTGGTTCAGCCATCAGGCTCTTGGGGGGAGCCTTAGCTGTCCCCCACTCCTCCTTCTCCTCCATGGGCTGACCTCTCTCCTTCCTTGCACCCCCACTCCCTGCTCTGCTCCCCCAGGAACTTCCTGGTGCTACGAACCTTGTGGAAGTGAATTCAGGTTCTTATCCAGGGATTCCATTTAACCTGCTGGCTGTGGCTGCATCTAGGGCTGGGGGGGGGGTGTCTTTCAGACTGGTGTTGGGGACCAGCAGCCTAACTGAGCCCCCCAAACCAGGACACAAGCCTGTATCTGGACAGGGACTCTGGGAGGGGTCTCCAGGGACTGTGTCTAGACCTGGGACACTGGGAGGGGTCTCCAGGGATTGTGTCTGGACTGGGAACTCTGGGAGGGATCTCCAGGGACGGTGTCTGGACTGGGACTCTGGGAGGGGGCTCCAGGGGCTGTGTCTGCACCGGGGACTCGTGGGAGGGGTCTCCAGGGGCTGTGTCTGGACTGGGGACTCTGGGAGGGGTCTCCAGGACTGTGTCTGGACTGGGGACTCTGTGGGAGGGGTCTCCAGGGGCTGCGTCCTGGAAGTGGTTAGCACTGGCCCACATCTCCTCATGGTCTCTTCTTCTGTCCACAGCCGAATGCACCGCTGGCTTCTGTTTCAATGGTGGCCGCTGTGCGCCAGGCTCGGCTCAGCTGTGCCACTGTCCTGGAGGCTTCCAGGGGCCCCGCTGTCAGTATGGTGAGTGGAGGCCCTGGCTGGAGGCAGCCTGCCGGTGGAGGCTGGGCACCGGGGAGGCAGGCTTTCCTGTGCACAGCTGTGTGATACTTCCCTCTGGATGGCCATCCTCCGGCCGCTCTCCCAGCTCCGTGTGACCCATCGGGGCTTGGTGGGAGGAGAAGGTGGCCTCGAGAGGCCCTCTGTGGTGGGTGGCTCTGCACCCCACGGTCTCGGAGCCCACATGGTCCAAACACAACATTTGTGGATGGGGACATGGCGCTCAGAGACAGGGCAGTGAGCAGCCGGGTGCCAGGGGTCCCCAGGCCATACCACGCCCACGGCCAGAGCACTCACTGTCCCTAATGTTGAGAGGTGGGGCTGTCCGAGGGCCTCAGTGGATGGCCAGCCGCAGACCCGCCCCGCACAGATCTGGAGGTCGAGCTGCAGCATGAGTGGGGAAACCTAGGCAGGGTAAGTGGAGCGTGCCAGGGGAGAGAATGTGCAGACGGAGAGAAAACTCAAACAGAGCTTCTGCCAGACTCCCCTACCAGCTGGGTGCCCTGGCTTACACCAGTAATCCTGCCTATTCAGGAGGCTGAGGTCAGGGGATCAGGTTCGTAACCAGCCCGGGCAGGAAAGTTTGTGAGACTCTCAGCTGCAGTTAGCCAGCAAAAGGCTGGAAGTGGAGCTGTGGCTCAAGTGGTAGTGCCAGCACCCAGTGAAAAAGCTAAGCGACAGCGCTCAGGCCCCGGGTTCAAGCTCCAGTACCGGCATAAACAACTGATGTCACCCTAATTGCTTTGAGGCATAGGAAATGAGGTGCACTTCCTCCGGGGTGCTCCGAGGGTCCTGAGCCCCGGTCCACCACATGCAATATCTCCTCCTTCCTGCGGGCCTGTCCTCCCCCCTCCTCCTCTGCCCCCTGCTGTCAGGAGATGGGACTCTGGGTTCCCTGAGCACTTGGCTAAGCTCGGGTATGGGGAGACGCCATGGCCCCATGGTCGGGGGGCCTTAGGTGGCTGTACGGCAGGCCTGTGTCTCCATGGAGCCAGCCCAGGCTGCTTCCTGGGCGTGGGAGAGCTCTGCGTGCCGTTCCCGAGTTCCAGGTTCGAGGATCCCAGGCCTAACCGGGCCTCCTCCAAGACCCCCTGTGGCCACTCAGAGGTGGCCCCTCTGCCCCAGCGGAGTGCTGGGGACCCTGATCCCCCTCCGCACTGCTGCCTGGCAGCCTCCTCTGCCGTTTCTCAGCTGCCCTACCTGGGACAGGGGGCCTTTGGCCGCCAGTAAGTACAGTAGGAACAAGCTGGAAGGGTTCACTTGGGGCTAGGCACCTGGAAGAATGGGGTGTTCCCTGGGGCTCGGCATCTAGTTGGGGTATCCTGAGCCTCTTCACCAAGAAACTCTGTGCCTTTGGGGGGGGTTCAGCCCCCCATGGGGGCCTGTCTGGGCCAGGCTGAGTGGCGTGGTGGGCTTAGGCTGGTGCTGTGGCTGGGGTGTGCTCACAGCTCCCGCGCCCCAGACTCTTGGCCCTGACTTGTGGGTCACAAACCCCACACCTGTGCCACAGGCTTAGCCCCACAGCAGCAGGCCTGTTCTCCACAAGGAGAGGAGCAGAGGACCAGGAGCTGGAAGCCCTGCCCGGCCCCGAGCCAGATCTGTGTGCTTTGCCTCCTCCACTCTTCACTTTGTCTGCATTGGGAGGGTCCCACAGCCACTGGCCATGGCTGCGTGGGGCCAGCTGGATGCCAATGAACCCTTGGCACCTCTTGGTGCTAGGCCACGCCTGGGTCAGGGTGGGCCCCCACTGAGATCTGCTCTGGAAGTGGAGGTCCTGAATCAGGGCGGGGCCCCTGACCATGGCTGGCTTCTGATCGGCAAGAGCTGGGTGTGCAGCACTGGCTGAGCAGACAGGGATGTGCACAGGGGTGTGCAGGACTGGGCATTCAGTGCTAATTGTGCAGGACTGAATGTGCAAACTGAAATTACAGGGCTACAGGATGCGGAGTGAGGTATTCAGGGCTGGGCTATAGGGCTGGGCTGTTGGGCTGGGCTAGGGCTGGGTGTACAGGGTTGTGAGAATAGGGCTGGGTGTGCTGGGCTGTGAGTGTAAGGGCTGGGTGTGCAGGCCTGTGCATGCATATCTTTGTAGGGCTGAGTGTGCCCGAGTAGGTGTATAGAGCTGGGTGTATAGGGCTGGGTGTTCAGGTCTGTGCATGCATGTCGGTGTGCGTGGCTAGGTGGGCAGGGCTGGGTGTGCAGGTCTGGGTGTGCAGGGTTCCCTGGTATAGAACTGGGTGTGCAGGTCTGGGTGTGCAAGGTTCCCTGGTATAGAACTGGGTGTGCAGGTCTGGGTGTGCAGGGTTCCCAGGTGCATAGTGGGGAGTACAGGGCTGGATGTGCAGGGGTAGGTGTGTGGGGCTGGGTATGCAGGGGTAGGTGTGCAGGGCTGAGTGTGCAGGGGTAGGTGTGCTGGGCTGAGTGCAGGGGTAGGTGTATAGGGCTGGGTGTGCAGGGCTGGGTTGCAGGTGTAGGTGTGTAGGGCTGGGTGTGCAGGGCCAAGTGTTCAGGAGTAGGTGTGCAGGGCTGGCTGTGCAGGGATAGGTGTGCAGGTGTAGGAGTGCAGGAGTAGGTGTGCTGGTCTGTGCCTGCAGGGCTGGGTGTGCAGGGCTGGGTGTGCACGGCTGAGTGTGCAGGGCTGTGCCTGCAGGGCTGGGTGTGCATGGCTGAGTGTACAGGGCTGTGCCTGCAGGGCTGGGTTGCAGGGGTAGGTGTGCAGGGCTGGGTGTGCAGGGTTGAGTGTGCAGGGGTAGGTGTGCAGGGGTAGGTATGCAGGGCTGTGCTTGCAGGGCTGGGTGTGCAGGGCTGAGTGTGCAGGGCTGGGTGTACAGGGCTGGGTGTGCAGGGCTGTGCCTGCAGGGTTGGGTTGCAGGGGTAGGTGTGCAGGGCTGGGTGTGCAGGCCTGGGTGTGCAGGGCTAGGTGTGCAGGGGTAGGTGTGCAGGGCTGGGTGTGCAGGGGTAGGTGTGCTGGGCTGAGTGTGCAGGGGTAGGTGTGCAGGGCTGTGCGTGCAGGGCTGGGTGTGCAGGGCTGAGTGTGCAGGGGTAGGTGTGCAGGGTTGGGTGTGCAGGGCTGGGTGTGCAGGGCTGTGCGTGCAGGGCTGGGTGTGCAGGGCTGAGTGTGCAGGGCTGTGCGTGCAGGGCTGGGTGTGCAGGGCTGTGCGTGCCTGGGTGTGCAGGGCTGTGCGTGCAGGGCTGGGTGTGCAGGGCGGGTGTGCAGGGCTGGGTGTGCAGGGCTGAGTGTGCAGGGGTAGGTGTGCAGGGCTGGGTGTGCAGGGCTGGGTGTGCAGGGCTGAGTGTGCAGGAGTAGGTGTGCAGGGCTGTGTGTGCAGGGCTGTGCGTGCAGGGCTGGGTGTGCAGGGCTGAGTGTGCAGGAGTAGGTGTGCAGGGCTGTGCGTGCAGGGCTCGGTGTGCAGGGCTGGGTGTGCAGGGCTGAGTGTGCAGGGGTAGGTGCGCAGTGGTAGGTGTGCAGGGCTGTGCGTGCAGGGCTGGGTGTGCAGGGCTGTGCGTGCAGGGCTGAGTGTGCAGGGGTAGGTGTGCAGGGCTGGGTGTGCAGGGCTGTGCGTGCAGGGCTG